GTTGGTTGGTTGTTTTAAACAAAAAACAGAAAATCTTTTTTATAGTTTTAGTAGTGATGCTGGCCTAAGAATCAGCTACAGTCACCTAACTTAAAACCTTTCTGAATGAAGGAAGCTTTTGCAAATGGAGCAGTTAAACTGAACACCTTTACATAAGCATGTTGCTTACATCCATATGAATCAGATGTAAATGGAGTTGCTGAAAGCTTGAGCTTCAGCTCGTTAGTAGAGGCCCAATTGCCCAACTACATATTAAAGACATATCAGGTAGAAAAAAATCCTTAAGTTTTATGCATTATCTTATATGGATGTTGCACTTAACTACACCCCAGTAATGAAGATCTTGAGCTGCCTTGACAAAATAGATTACTGGCCAAAATGTCGGTATGCTGCAACAAATTAATGGGCAGTGGATTTGATCAACTGCTGTTCGCTGATGCATCTTAAAGCATGTATGTTTTTCAAGACTGAGTGTATGGTCAGCATTTTCAAAGGTACGACAATTTCAACATTACAATACAGAAATCAAATGTTTGAGTGAGAAAACAGTACAAAACAGTAGTCACATTTGTTTACACTGGATACATCCACAGCACAAAGCTGATCAAGTTGTGGAAGCTGCAGGACATTGAGAGTTTGGGAGCTGAGCGGTAGGCAAAATTCCAGGAGCTGACGACACAGATAAGAGATCGGCATCTTCAGAGAGGAGACTGCTGGGATTAAGAAGGGGAAAAGAAAGAGAAGCCACAGCAGCTGCCTGCCGTCCTAGCATCAGTCCTAAATTATAGATGTTTGAATTAATGAGATTATTGCCTGGGACGAGAATGTTCAGTTGTTTCTGAATTTCTTGCAGGACCTGAAGCTGACTTTGCTGATTGAGAAGAATCATGTCCATAATTTCCCACATTTTCTTCACTGTAGGAAGATAATAGAATGTTAATGCCTGCTATGTAAAAACACTTTGCATGGCAATTTAGAAGCCTTTTTATACTTACATTCTTCAAGAAGGAGACTCAAGTGATCCACCTCACATTTCTCTGCACCACACCTTTGCTCTTCTTTATGATGCAGAGATGTAAGTTCAGAATGGTTTGCATCTAAAAGGAAGATTGTGTAAGTCAAGAGCCCACTTTATCACCGATTGCTAGGTCAACATTTTGAATCTGCTTTCACACAAGGAAAAGGCAGCTCAGTAATAATCCTTCCTGTCCTTCACATTTTAAACCTGAAACTTCATTCAAGTCCCATGTTGGCCAAAACTAAGCCAAACAAGAACAAAGACTAGCCAGATACAACCCCTTGAAACATAACACTTTGGTTTTATCACAATCAAGATACCTTCCTCTTGCTTCCCCCATACATTATTTTTTTGGGGGGTGGGTGGAGGGTGGGAGAAGGAAAGCTGGAGCAAATTTGCTTAAGAAATAGGACAGATGACATTTAGTAAAGAAGTACTTAAGTTGTAAGTATATAAACCTCTTCTTTGAAAACATCAGATACAGAAGTCAGGTCTCATTCCTAATCCACACATTGCAAGGCCAACGTGGCATATGTTTGACCATAAAAGCAATTTTATTGTGGAGCTTCAGTTACAATGATGCAGTAGCTATAGTTACTCCAAAATAAGTTTCCACAGTTTCTTTTGAAGTAGGCATAGTATTAGGCTGATCTGATATTATTGTCCAACTGCCAGGTTAAAAATGAGACTTATTTTCGTTATGAATTATAATCTCTTACATCTAAAAAAACTACCAAAAGCCCTCAAAAAAACCAAAACAAAACAAAACAACAGCAAATCACCCAAACATTAGGAATGTAAGGTCCCATCCTTAGGGCTCATTAGCAGAGCTACTAGGCTACCTCTCTATATCTGTGGACTGAGAGGTCTCATACCCTACCTCAGAAACTCAGTTTTGCCATTTCATTATAACTTCATTATTATTTCCATTGTTAAGATTAAAGGTTCTCCTGCTCAATTTTTTTTAGGAAGAAAAACAAAATAAAATAAATAAAACCCCCAGGAAAACCTCACACACAAACCCAATTCTTCTCATATGGCCTCATGTCTTAATTGTCCTGCTGTTACATGATCTGGGGGTCAAGACCCCAACACACAAAAGAATTCTATGGGTGGCTAGGCAAGATCCAAGATTAAGAATTAAAACATTTTTGATCAAGTATAAAGGGATTCCCCATGTAAAGATATAACAGAAAAAACCCACAATGTCAGTTTTTATCCCAGAGTTTCTGATCATTACAAGAACACAGAACACTGCAAAATCCAGAAAACTCCCTACTTTAAACAATCACCTTGCCTGACAGCTTGTGCTATGCTAAAAGTATTATGGAGGGATGGCCAGTAGACACTTCCCACTTCAGACAATGAAAAGCTGCTCACTGATTATCCACATACAACAAAAATTAGCTGCTAGACACTACCAAGGCCCTGGTTCACAGTCTAAATCCCTTCCACTTCCCTAAGCTTAGTATTTTGTTGGCTAAACACTTCTGAAGATCTAAGGCTACACATCATGCAATACTATGAAGCAGAAACTAGTGGGATCTGAGAGCTTTGCAGAGTCTAAGGTACCAGGCAGCCTTCACGGCAAAGCTTAACTTTCAACCTTGGCATTTTCAAGGCACTTCTTCAAATGAGAGAGATAAATATATTATGGGAAGGAAAGGAAAAACAAACAAACTAACTTCACTCATATCCACAGCAAGGGGAGGGAAGTGTTTAGGGACAAATGGAGACCACAGTATCTGATACATCCCCTGTGAGTCTGTACAGTTTGAAATAAAACTCAACAGATTTTAATTCAGTTACCTGCTGTGTGTTCACTGGGTGTCTCTCTTAAATGAATCTGTTGATGTTTGATGAAGTTTGCATACAGAGAGAAGCTATTTCCACACTCAGTACATCTATAGGGCTTTCCATCCATATGGACTTTCTGATGCTGGGAGAGAGCTGCGCTTCCACTGAAGCTTTTCCCGCACGTGGTGCAGGAAAACTCTTTCTTTTTCACATGAGTTTTGCAGTGAGCAATAAGGTTTGAGGTACGGATAAAGGTTTTCTCACATTCCTTGCACTTGTAAGGCCTCTCCCCTGCATGGATTTTCTGGTGTACCACCAGGTTGGCCTTCCTGCTAAAGCTCTTCCCACATTCTACACACTCAAACGTTTTTTCATTTGTGTGGGTTTGCAAGTGGTTCAGGAGCCTGGAGTTTCCCTTAAAGCCCTTCCCGCATTCTGGACACTTGTAGGGTTTCTCTTCTGCATGCGGTTTCTGACCGTCAGTGAAGAGGGCGAGTTCCTTGGAGCCTCTATTTTGGTGAGGGGGTTTGTTACAGGCTGCCCCCAAGTCTGGGCTGTGGGCTTCAGGTAGCTGAGGCAGTGCATCTTGCTTGAGGTTCCCTGGGATGCCTCCATCTTCCACATTGTCACTCAAACTGTGGTCCCCTGATGGAATAAGAGAGCAATCTGACAATCCTCCTTTTCCAACACAGATAAGCTGCTCCTTGTAAAATAACTCAATTCGTCAGGCTTAGCATCAACTTGCACCAGACCTCCCTTTCCCAAAGGAGAAGAGAAATTATGAAGACTGAGACAAGAAAATAAGAAGAAAAAGTGGCACAGGGAAGAAGTGAGAGGTAAGAAACCTACATCTTCTCTTCCTTCCTTTCCCCATTTCTGTGTTCTTCTGCCCCTCAGGGAATGGCAAAGGAAGACTGCTAAAGTGAAGGAAGAAAAAGGAACATGCTGAAACATCTTTCCCATCACAAATATCTTCTTTTAGCTATGTGTTCCTGCGGACTTTGCTCAAAGCTTGGTAAAAGTCCCCTTAACCTTCTTTAGGCAAAATCAACAGGAAGGATTTTGTTGTTTCTCACTTGTGTTAGTTAATATTTACTGAAAAATATTAAATTACTTCTTTTACAAGTCAGAACTTTAGGTTTTTTCCCTCATTATCAGAAGAACAGTTGTAATTTTACAGAGATACTGTATATTCATGCATCAGAAGTCAAAGGAATTCGATTTTTCTTGATAAAAATTAACTAATTGTCAATTAATTATTACCATCTCTTTCATATCTAGATCTAGTATGACACCTACTTTTCTTGTAGTGACAAGCTAAATAAATTGTATTCCAAGGAAGCTCACAGAAAACATTCAAATGTGGCCCATTCTTTCACAAAGAATGCAGTTTCAACCTACATATTTCACAAATGAGTATGTATGATCATGCACCCCACAGTAAGCTTTGGTTATCTTACTCTGCTGACTAAATCTTATCTTTACATCAGTTCGGCATTAATATAATTATCACCAGATACACAGTTATCCAAGCTTCATTTTTGCAAGCATCTTAAGATGTTCACTATTAGTTCAAATAGAGGACTTAGGCATTAGAATCTCTGATTTAGCATTAAAATACTCAGTTACTCACACTACAAATACTTCCATTTAATACGTCAAATGTGATTATTCCACTAACTAAAGCCAACTTTTTCTACATTCAAGGTAAAAACGCTGCAGGGCAATTTCAGTCCTATCCCTATGACACCAAGGAATAAAATTCTAAACTAACATGTCCTCAAAGAGACAAAATGCTCTCCATTTACATGGCCACAACTGCCAAGATCTAAATACCAGCAATACAAGAAAAAAAAAACAAACAGGTACCGAGGGAGAGGGGCTCATGTTCTACATGAAGGAATTATACCTGAGAGGTAGCTTTCTCCTAGAGGGATGAAGAAGACTCCCTCTTGCAGGAGCAATCCTTCTCTCACTCTACAATCAAGCAGCTGATTATTCCCAGAGGCCCACACAGAGACTCCAGGTGAAACAGGAACTGAACAACCCTCCATTCCCATCCAGAGTCACACATTTCAGATGCAGCTGTGCAACTCCCTCAGATCTTCCTCACCCATGAAAAAGTTTGAGAAAAGAGAAGTGTGCTGGCTTTGCTCCATTCCAAATGAACAGTACTGTCTTATTTTAAAACAGCTGCTAGAAATCCACAGCAAAAATACATACATACTAATACTGACCACTTTGCTCAGTCTAGCATGTCCTACTATCCTAGTAACGCTGGACAAAGCAGCCAGCTTGTAAGAGGCAACACAGTGTTCCCAGCACCACTTAGTGGAACATCAAGCTTCCCTCCATGATTTAACTAGCAGTCTTTACATCTCACCTGGATATCCTGCAGTATCACTTTTCATAGCCTCCTGGAGAAGAGAGAACACAGACTCTACTACTGGCTCCATCTAGAAGAGAAGACAAGACCTGGAGTGTGATCCCCACACAGATGCAAGGAGAAGGGGAGGGGGCAGATACAGGTGCAGTGCATTTTTGCAATACCCACAGGCTACCGGACAAGGGAAAACCTGCCTCTGCTATTGAGCACTACCTAAGTAGAGGGATGACTTTCTTTGCTAAGAAGACCTTTAGTTTGGCGATTTGCAAGCTGGAGAGCTTAATCAAGAGACCAGTGTGATAAAAAGCAGTGTTATCTAACCTCAATCTCCCTTGTAACCCCAACAGCCCCCGAGAACTGCAACAGCTCTCACCACAGCTTCCACCCCTCTCAGCCTTAAGACCTCGTGCTCTTTCCCAATCCTTAATACACCCTTGCCAGCTTCCCCCTTCCCCTTCTCTCCAGAGCTCCTCTACCCCTGCCCGAAAGCCTCCTAGCAGCACCTCAGCCCACTCCTTTTGGGCCGCCGCGTGAGCCCGGCCCCCTCCCGCCACTTGACCCGGGACGGTACCTTCCCTCCCATGGGCTCCGAGGCCGGCTGCTGCGCTAGGGGCTTGGGCTTTACTCCCTCCTGGGCCTGCTTCTGGCTCTCCCTGGCGACGAGAGGGCAGCTACTGGCACCAGGGACGTGGGGCTTGAAAAGCCGGGGGAGGAGAGAGAGACGCAGGGCGGCGAGTCCGGGCCTGGGCCGTGGACCACCAGGGCTGCTCCCCGGCCTCGGCGGCCGGGAGGCCG